TGACATAACGACCATGCCAACGTGAAATAGATGTCTTTGTTCGCTGAAGCATCCGTCACGAGCTCATAAGCTCCGTCTTTTGTGAATGGATTTTTCGCTGCCGCACGGTCTTTTTGCGATGGAATTTTTCACTCCCACCCTAGTTCAAAAGCGATTCTAGCTCCATGACAATGTCGGCCCACCGCGAGCGTTCGGTGGATTCGTCGTTTGCCTCCCGTCCTCTCGCCACATGTGGATCGCCTAGCAGTGTTCCTGAAAACTGTCGGCACTCGGAAACCAAACATGCCAGAAGATCGTTTTGGTTGTGAAAACAAGTATAACGAGCTAACCATAAGCTACGAAAAATTGAGGCATTATTACAAGATACACTGGAGAGAAATCCTCGGAAAACCTTACAGGGTAGCATCTACCCCTTCACTGTATGAGACAAGGGTAAGGAAAAAAGACGCATACCCACCAAAGCGCATAGATAAGTATCCCTGAACCCTCTAATCGCCAAAACGCCTAGAACCAAACCAACCCCACAAAGCTTAACGCTCCGAAGTCAATGGAAAATTCGTAAGAATTTAAACTCCAACGGAAAATATTAAGAATTTTATAGTTTATTCAGTTAGCAAAAAAGGTAAGTCAATTAACGTATTAACCGCTTAATGGGTTCATGCTCACCTCTGCTTTCACGCATCAGTCCTCAAGTCCCGTCTGGTTGTTCTTGTCACCGTGCATTACACTGTGCTGAGCTTTCAGCCTCTTCCCATGGCGACAAATTTAACCCATTTAGATCAAGGCCATACACTTAAGCAAAGCATTTCTGTCGCGCCATAAAGTAGAGACTCCCGTGCATTATGCAGAGATACATATCGCTGGCCTGAAATATGGTTGTTCAGTTATTCCTTGGTAGAACGCACGTCACATAATGTATTAACATGCGCACATGTAGATACACACACGAATACACGCGCTTAAATCATAAACAGCACTCATGCATTTTTTATTACAGCGCAGATGCACAAGTTACGTACAATTTCACGCTGAGATATTCAGAATCCACCCGCCGGAAAAATGGAAGGGAAATGATGCTCATTAGAAGTACACTGAGGGACTTAAGACGCATTTTTCGGACATAGAGCTGGCATAGCGTAAGAGCGCCTTCAAAATTGTGCAAAGGGTGTCTTTAACAGCGTTATCCAGCTTTTAGTTTTCAATACGTCGCGCAAAAGTCTGCTCAAAGCGCCGTCGCATTTGACAATATGATTGTCTCAACTATTAGTTTTGTGCATGCAGTGTAAAAGTGCTATCCACGGGCCTAAGCAAGCTTTTCAATGTAATTTTGTTGTGTAGCAGGATAGGCTGAAATGTCGGATTTGGGTTAATGGGCAGGGCATGCTATCGGAGGCTCAAGCGGCAGCTACAGTTTGTGTTGTGACGGCAAAGTTTTAGTTGATTCATGTTACCAAAAACAACTGACAGCCAAAAGTACAGTCTATTTATTTATTTATTACACGTCATAAGCTCACTCCACTCAGAATGTGGATATTACAGAACCCGTGCGATGGAAATAAAACACTGTAGGTCAGGGAGGCTCGCGCAAACACGTACACACACAGGCATACATACGCAAAACACACTCTCACATTCGCTAGTCATTTGAAGTAGGCGTCGCTATCTGTTATTGATCCGCTGCTGCATGATATAACTACGCGACTCGCGTTTGAATTGTGGAAGGCTCAGGTCGTGAATTTTCTGCGGTAGTGCATTGTAGGCGGTCACGGTGGAGTAAACAAAACGCCGCCCTCCCGATTCGGATCTGATCACCGGCACATGTAACACATCATCCTGCCTCGCTGTACGATGGTGAACATGGTGTCTATGGATAAGGTGATCAGATAGCGACTCCGGCTGGGATCTTTGCAGGATACGTTTTCGAAAAGTCAGTGTGTGATACAAGAGCATGTTGTCAGCAGACATCCACTCGAGATCTCGTAAAACATCGCTCACATGATCATATTTCCGACGCCCAGAGATGACTAGTGCTGCGAAGTTCAGCAGCTTCTGCAGTCGTGATGTTTGAGTAGCATTACATGTTTCGTACACACAGATGCAGTAACGGGTGGGTGAGATGACTAGACCCTGGACGAGAGTAATGAGTGTGGCCTGAGGCAGACTGTGCCGGCTGTGGCTGAGGCCGATAAGAGCGCCGGTGCATCGCTGCACGACGTCATCATTGTGCGCAGTGAACGTCATGCACTAGTCAAAGACAACACCCAGGTTTCGAGCGGAAGTAGAGCTGGCTACAGTGGCGCCCATAAATTTGCTGCTAGCCGGTGGCAGGTTCCGAAGATTTTGACGCGTGCCGAGGACTATGAGCTGTGTTTTTGTGCATTAATTTTCATTTCGTTTTGCCAAACCATTTGGACAGGTGTGAAAGATGTTGCTCCGTGGATGTGATCAGCGTACCAATTTCACCGGGCCTCCCACTCACTAAAACCTGCGTGTCGTCTGCGTACTGCACAATGCATGCGTCATGAGCATACAGCGGCATATGATTAGCATAAATGCTGTACAGCAGCAGGCCGAGCGCTGAGCCCTGGTAGGCTCCGATCGGGTTGTGCAAAGCCACGGACAGAGAGGAAGCGCCAGGGGGTTCTGGACGAGAACCTGGTGAACGTGGTTTTGGATGTAGTTCGCGAACCAACGTACATCAACATTGTACGGCTGGAGCTTTCTAAGTCTAAGGAGTCCATCACGTGGGATATCATCAAAGCATTTGGATGAGTCCAGTAGGCATATCAAGGTGATTTCCCTTTTATCCACGGCCTCAAAAACTTTGCGGTTACCGTGAATAGCTCCGTGTCAATGGAGTGATGTGATCTAAAACCATGTTGACTATACGAGAACAGGTGATGAGAGGTAAAATATTCAAACAGCTGCTCGTAAACTACACGTTTGGTAACCTTAGCGATAGTCGGTAAAATTGAGATAGGCCTTTAATTAGAAACACCAGTAGATTTTGACGTCTTTTGGATAAGATGTACTATTGTCAGCTCCCACGAATCGGGAACTACCTGGGCTGTCAGGCTGGAATTGACAATCTGGGCGATCACGGGACAAATAGCGTCTATGCACAGTTTGAAAGACCGGATACACCACTCGTCTGCACCGCACGATGTAGTGTTGTGCATGCGGGCTATGACGCGTCGCAGTTGCTCCGGTGTAACGGGCGATACCTGGAACCGGCCGGTGGCCACACGCGGCAGGCGTACCGCCAGCTCCGGCCCCGAGGAGTCCACCTGGCGGGCGGTCGCTGTACCAATGCTGGCGAAGTACCAGTTAATGTCATCCGCGTCCGCATTAGGTGTGGACCTGGTCGGCTGCTTAGATAAGACGACAAGCTGCACACTGCGCCACATCGGGCCCGGTTCACCCTCCCGTACACACGTGTCAATCTCCCCCCGTGTGTCACGACGCACTGCCGACCTGACTTGACGGTTTTGGCCCTTATACGTCTCGCGGTCATAATCACGGAGTGCAGCACGCCGCCGGGCCATCAGGTCTGTAGTAGCTTCCGTGCCAGGTGGTGCTGTAGGATTGCGCACTTTTAAACGTCTCGTCGGTGCTAAAGCATCAACGATAGGACGAGTCACTGCAAGGAACAAGTCCCACTGCTCTCCGGATCGACACTGCCGTACACTGGACCCCAGTCCACATTTTGGAGACGTCGATTCGCCTCAGTCAAGTCCATTTCACGCCAGCATCTCGCCGTTAGCGCGCACTGCGCAGGTCGGTGGTCCGCTAGCGGCACTAGAGCACGTGACCAGTCATGGAGACTATAGTCACAGTGCAGCGTGCCGGCGCGCTCAACACCACCGTTTGTACAAATACAATCGATGGTGGAGTTAGATGACCGGAACGTGGGCCCGCTCATATGCTGCTGCAGAGAGTATGCTGTGAGGAACTCTCTGAACCTGCTGGCCGCGGTGCTCTCGTTGCTGCTGCAGGTGTTGATGTTGATGTCACCAGATATGATGACGGGTCCACTGTGACAGGCGAGTATGTTCTGGTGTTGCTGCTCCAGCTCACCGAGGTCCGCAGTGACTCGGGCCTGCGTCTGTCTCGGGGGCCGGCACAGTGAGCACACCATAACTTTTTGAGACACAGCGCGGATCTGGACCCACAATGACTCCAGTTTGGGGCCTGCTGTGACCTGATCAGGTCCGTTCACCACAGTCGCCTCCAGTGACTCTCTCACTAGTACAGCCACGCCACCAAACCCTTTGTTATCAGGTCTGTATCTCATCTCTCAGCCCGTGCCCCCAGTCGGGCGGGGTACTTCCGAGATTAATATTGTCAGGAACGGCAGGATCAATCTTCTTACCAAAATTTTTCGATCGATTAAGACATACATTTGACAAAGACAAGAAACCACCAGAAAGCCTACTTCATCGGATCTCCAAAGCCACGCTAGATAAATCCACGAACTTTTTGGAAACTCTGAAATGGTCACGCGGAAAAAACATGCAGCCATCCCATGATGTCGCGGATGTCCCACACCCCGGTGACGGCACCACTCAGCGTGCTGTGTCAGCAGCCACCCCATGGTGTCACGGACGTCGCACATCTCGGTGACGGCACCACTCAGCGTGCTGTGGCAGCAGCCATCCCGTGGTGTCACGGACGTCGCACATCCCGGTGACGGCACATCTCAGCGTGCTGTGGCAGCAGCCACCCCATGGTGTCACGGACGTCGCACATCCCGATGATGGCACACCTCAGCGTGCTGTGGCAAGGCCAGCGATCGACCTACGTTAAGAATAACTAATCGAGGTAAGATGCTAACTTACCCATTCATAGCTTTTATTCGAGTCATTGTTCCAGTGGTGTCACAATCGACAGTTCGACGTGTGCTCCACATATACGTGGCAGACGTACTTTCTAACAATCACTTAACGCATCCCACTTAAAGATTGCGGCAAAACCAGCGCGTGCCGGGCTCCTGGTCTCCGTCACGTCAGCGCTCGCGACTGGAAGCGGCTCTGAAACACCTGCCGGCAGCCTGGCTCGGTTCTCAGCGTCGTACACCAGCCACTGAATCATCAAAGGCTTAAGGGGCCGAGCGCCGCCTGCGCGCTCCGTACTCAGCCCCGGCCGGCAGGCAGCTGGTTTGCACCTCGTGCCGCCAGGCCTCGTTCATACGGACGCTCTGCCAGATGCGCACGCGCTCCTCGAACAGCCGCTCCCCGACTGAGGGTTCCGCATTGAGCCGCATGTGGCGCTGGCTCTGTTCGGTGAAGACAGGCCAGTCGGGCGTCGGCAGGACGGTTGAGCTGGGCCGACCGGTGCGAGCGAAGCTCGTCCACAGGCTCACCATGAAGCGGATCATGGTGTAGGTCGGCGAGTCGGCCGGGTACGCTGCCTGCTTTGCGTTGCTGAACAGGTACACCAAGTCATCACCGTGAGAGGGACCCATGTACGGTGCATCAATTCCAAGCAGCTCGGCAGCGGAGAGGCGACCAGGTCCTCTGTAATCCAGCACGTATTTGTAGACCGGCGCGTGGAGTGACGCGAGGCGCACCTCCTCCGACATGGGAGCAACAAACAGTCGGTCTCCCACAGCTCGAAGGAACGGCAGAGGGTTGGTATGGCTGAGTGTGGCATTGCCGACGTAGAAGTCAATCACTTTGGCGATCTCCACGTTTGAGTCCGATCCACAGTCCAGCGGAATGGCCCGGAACTCGCTAATCAAGCCAGTTAGGATGCCCCATGTAATAGGATTTCCTGAAAACACACCTTCCGCCACTGATCTGTTTTGGAGAAAAAACGGAGCAAACAGTGCTCCTTCCTCTTCCGCAATGCCGTTCATCCATGGAACCAGGTTGAATTCCCCATTATTGATGAGATAACGCGGATCCTTTGGCAGCAGCGGCGATTCCGATTCGTTGTCCACCCGTGGATGAAAAAGCATTTCTTGCAGGCCTAATTCTTTTTAGCCTCCATGAGATGCTCGGAGGGGGCATTCCTTATGCACTCCACCATTATGGAAACATCGTCGACAGAGCAACTGAGCTGCTCTGCAAACTTCTGGGTGAAATCCTTCGCCTTTCCACCTGCCGCAAAGTTTGCGAATGCCGTACCTGACTGGCTGATGGCGTGGTGGAACAGGCCTTTCGCCAGGGGGCTCAGCACCAAAAGCGAGACACTGGCCCCTCCCGCTGACTCGCCGAAAACGGTCACCGTAGCGGGGTCTCCGCCGAATCTGGCGATATTATCCCGGACCCACTGCAGCAGCATCACCTGGTCCAGCAGACCGTAGTTGCCGGGAGCGTTCTTATCGTGTGCCGTGAAGAATCCGAACGGTCCCAGTCGGTAGTTGAAGGTCACCAGCACCACAGCCTCGTCCATGAAGTAGTTCGGTCCGTATACCTCCTCGTCTCCACTGCCCATCGTGAAGCCACCGCCGTGGATGAAGACCATGACTGGCAAACCTCCAACGGCTCTCTCCAGCGCCGGTAGCTGCGGCGTGTACACGTTGGCGAACAAGCAGTCCTCGTCGCCCTCCAGACTGTTGTTCTTAAAGGCGTTGTACTGCAGACACGTGCGACCGTGCTTGAGGCCGTCCAGCACGTCCGCCCAGCCCGGGTGGCGTTGCGGTGGTTGAAAGCGGAGTGGCCCGAGCGGCGCGCGCGCGTACGGGATCCCCTTGAAGCCGAAGAAGAGGCCGCCGGCGGCGCTTGCGCCGCGCCACGCCCCTGACGATGCCCTCTCGCGTGGCGACGAGCGGGCGGGACTGCACGTCGGGGTAGCCGGCCGCTGCGGTCAGCAGCAGCGTCAGACTCAGCAGCACCGCCGGCGCGCGCCGGAGCTGGTCGGCCATCTTCGCTGTGCGAGGGACAACAGTGCCGAGCGGGAGAGGGACGGGTGTGCTCACTCCCAGCGGGTCCGTGGCACTGACAAGGGCCGGCCGAAGTCTCGGATTAACTCCGTGGGCGGAGTAGTAACTACAAATAAGGCAATAGACATGCAAGCTCTGCACTGAGGTCTGCCATGAACCGCAGGGCGTGCAAATTGCACGACCTCATCTGTGTATGTTGGCGGCTCAGTTGCAAGATGGAAGGAATATGCGCTCGCGATATTATCTCATGGGAAGAGATCGGTGTTAATGTAGGACACTTCGGAGCGTGCGCTGCAGTCCACCTCCCAACGATGGTGTCCGTGCGCCATGCTTCATCCGCCTCTGCTTGCATTCGCCGCCGCCGACATGACAAGTGACCTTTTCTGGGCATGTGCCAGTCTTGCAGATGTACGCGTCTAGCACTGCCAAAGGCTTCCGAGAGAGTGAAAAACCACTATCAGAGAAAAGCACGATCACCTTCAATTATGAGATAATCCGAAGTCTTAAGGAGATAACCGTATGCACTTACAGTTGCAGTGGCATCACACACATGTATCTGCCTTGACACCTTAATTAGGTGCAGTATGTTTGAACATCACATGCTTTACGGTCGTCATTGTCTGAGCACGCGATCCTATGAATTTCATCGGCTACAGGGGCACGCGAGCAAGAGCATCACTTATACTTTGATAACGGTCTTAGCGTTGCAACTTATGCTTACAAGGCTTTTTCCAGATTTATATGGGTTTTCAGCTGAAAGAGCAATCTTAAGATTATGTGGTGCGTTTCACAGTGCCGACTTTTTCAGGATGGTCAGATGCTGATGTAATATGTTTCTAGCTTAGACAACCCAGATATCAAGGTGTAAAAAATTGTCATAGCTATATCGATTCAAGTATAAATGAATACTCTGCTTGCCTCACAGACAAAATCGTTTCCTCTGTTCAAGAGCTCATGTTCATGATTTGTGTCACCCCTTTTATGCGAGCCATTGGAGTTTAAATTATGCAGACTAGGATGATACGGTATCAAAAGTATCTGCGATTCTCACCAGCAACGCCACTAATGTTAATGATGTTCAAAAGTGGAAAAAATCCAACGGACACATTTCATTTTCTGAAAGATGCACTGAGTGGTCTTCTAACTCCTTAACTGTTTGTTGGATATTTTGGACAGCATGGACCGGTATCGTGATTTTAAGAAAAGTTAACAAGCTTTAAAAACTGTTTCAAAGCTACCTATTCTAGGTCATGTGCTTGTTTTGAATGTTGTTCGGCAACCAGCAGGCTCATGAACCAAGACTAGTAAGTGGATCGGGATTGTTGTACGATGTCATTTTTACATAACACTTAAATCTATGACGTGATTCTTTGACTTCCCTAAGTGGGCTGCTGTAAAGCATTCATGTGATGTACTGACGTTCACTATGTTTTACAGTTTCAGTGCATGTAAGGTATGTTATCATTATGCAAACGCAGTTGTTCGCACGATAACTTAGAGCTTCTGTATCTCATGTAAATGTATTTTGCTGTTACGTTTGTGGTCGCGATTGGACTGAAATGCTTTATCTAGCATGATATTTGTCATTATATTTTGTATTGCATTCCTCGCCTCTTTTACATGTGATGTCTTTAGCGTACATGTTGCTGCGCCGGCATTTTAACATCAGTGAAAGTTTTGCCTGGGTTGTGTGCCCGGTGTCAACGTTCGCTCAGTTCCCAGTCAACTATTCGTAAAAATTTGTGTTAGTCTTCTTGTGCTACTAATTTATATGTGAGAATGCTGAAAACATCGCTTTGTTTGTGCTATGCAGGGTTTTGTGCTGTGCTGACCTTTCCTTGAAAACCTGGCTACTGGCAAACGTACAATCAGCATCTGCTGTCCTGGGACCCGTGGTGACACCCGTAGTTTTTAGGACTTGTACACGTGCCGTTTGCCCGCGCCCGCAATTTCCCCAGCTTGTAAACCCAACCTTCCCAGCTGGTATGAGTACTCGCCGGTCTGCGCAGCCCATGATGACCTTTAGCAATGACCCATGGTGTTGAAAGGCGGCTTGCAGATCAGCTTGCGGGCCACTGCTCGATTATTTGTGCTTAATGTTAATGGGTGAACATTGAAAATGGCAGTGCTTTAACGAAGATGAATTGTACTTCCACGTCGAATGAAATGGAACGTTGTTTACCTCTGGCTGGGAGGCAAGTTCGCGTAATGCAAAATGTGCTTCGAACACTCATCTGTTTGGCCCGCTTATTTTGCCGGTAATGCTTGAATTGCCTTCTGAGCCTGGCTCAGAACAGGAGTTTTAATATTTTAATCGTTTTCCATTGCCCGATTGTGTTGTGAGCACGCCCAGCCTTCACAAAGGCACAGCATGCCGCCCCTGCCGTGTCGCGCCGCGGCCTCGGCCGCGCGGGTGGAACGCGACATATCGCCGCGGGCGCTTACCACCGTCGCGAGGCGGACCGTACGGGACGCATGATAGGTGCGTGTGTGTAAGCTGACTTATAAGTGGTAGCCTCACCTGAACTAAATGTTATGTCGTGCCTGCCTGGTATAGCAGGGGCAGTACGCCACTGGACTCGGTCCATTACAGATCGCCGCGTCACTACACGTCTCTTTCTGACCGAGCTGAGCCCGTACCGCTGGACGAAGACATCACACGATGTATGCAACTACATCTCTTCAAAAGGTTTAAAATAGCTTAATTGTAACGCTTGCCGTCGCGTCTAATCTCATCGTGTGCATTTCACAGTTCTACTTTGTGCTATGCAAGGGTTGTAAGCTACAGCTGAGAATACTCTGAAATCTGTGATTACAAGCTTACGATGGGCGGGCTTCAGTATCCATCCTATGGTTTTTGTTTAAGATCCGAATCCTAATTTTCAAGATCTCAATCCCCGTTTTCAGGATTCGGGGGCTTTGCAAGACACGAAAATGTTTGAATCTTTTCGAAACATGCCGATCGGATAAATGTCGTCTGCAGTGCGACATCCGTGGCGTCGAGTGAACACCCTTGCAGCTGGCTCATATCGCACTCGCGCTCGTCTCCCAGTGTGACATCCGGGGCGTCGTGTGAACACCGGCGCAGCTGGCTCATATCGCACTCGCGGTCGTCTCCCAGTGTGACATCCGTGGCGTCGTGTGAACACCGGCGCAGCTGGCTCATATCGCACTCGCGCTCGTCTCGTTCGGGGGTACATCTCATTGCTGTGATCAGAAGCCATAAGTTTGAGCAGTAAGAATAGACGAAAAAAATGCGTTCCATTGCGGAAGTACTTGGCTCCTTAACAAACTGACTCGCCCTATTTCATAACGCCGACCGAAAGTATGGGGGTGGGGGGACTTACGCGACCATTCCATTGTTAATTCAAAACAAAGTTTTCAAACTAAGTTCTATGTTCTGAGTTTTACTAACTGCCTTACAAACAATTTGTACTCCAGCCTGGTTTCTAGCTTTTCGCGAAAAAAGCTAGTAGTATGGTCTTAACGAGATCACGCTACAAAACACGCCATTGGAGATGGCATATACGTTGTCATGTATGTGATAATTCACCACGATATTCCATGGAAAGAGCCCTTATTCCCAAATATCCCTCTATTTTACGTTTTGTATGGCAATATTTATTAACCCATGCCACGTGGCTATCATGAAACGCACACATGCACATGCACACACACATACACACACACACACACCACACACACACACACACACACACACACACACACACACACACCACACACACACACACAACACACACACACACACACACACACACACACACACACCACACACACACACACACACGTGTTGCCTCTTTAATTGTGAGCGTATGGTTAAGTAGTTTTGTGTGGTCTGGGCATATATGTGTGATGTAGGCCCCGTTAATGTAACAATGTCCAGTGTCCTAGAATTGCCGACTTTTGGTGTAAAGCAACACCCTATGAAAAGGAATTTTTCACTCTTTTTCCCCATATTTGATGTGAATTTTTCACTCCTGCCTGACATCGTCTAATCGCACATGCCAGACCCCTATGCAACGTTTTGAGGCTTTCAGACGTGATCCAAAGCCGAGCATCATTCCAACCTCTTACTTGTTTCGCATTTTAATCTCGAAGGTTGGTGATTCACGATTAATATTTATATTTAGGGGTGAGTCCAGGCCCTCTGCCAGCAGACCATGCAAAAGGCACTGAATATTTTTTTGTTTTTTTTTGGGGGGGGGGCAGGAAGAAGCCGGTAAGTCTCCTGTGGACCAGGTAATTGCTTACCTGCTTTCAACACATGATTGGTAACGAGAGTTAGCCATTTTCTGTTTTAATATGCATCGAGTTTTGACAAGACAAATTATGATGCCTCAAGACATGACTTGGCTTATTTTGTTACATATTCTTGGTTATCTGCCCCAAATTTCTTAGAGTGTCCCTCATGGCTGCTTTAACCAGATGTTTTCTATAGTTGCCATGGTTTGCTGACTGGCAAATGACTGTACTGTATATATTCACTATATTTTTAACACAAGGATACTCCAAGCTGCATAGCAATTATAATATGAGTTAAGTATTGCTATGTAACAAATAGTCAAACCACCATATTTAAAATGTGAAGCCATCATCTCAAACTCTGTAATTAAATATGAATAAACACAAGCCCAAATGGATGCATTTGCTGCAGCTTAAAAAGCAAGCAGCAATGCTGGCATGGTCATCTAGAAGTTATGTTATTTTTGGGGAAGAGAAATTGTTTTGTGGAGCATACCCATTATTGCCTGTGACACAGGCTAACCATGACAATCAAAATAAGTTGTTCAAAGTGATTTTAAGTGTTTTTAATTTGCATGTTGTCAACATTGTCTGATGTCAACAAGCATGCAAAAATGAACTGAATTAAAATGTAAGTTGAAACCAGCCAAAAACT